ATTGGAATTTGGGAGGGCTTCAGTTCAACGCTTCAGCATTGATTGAGCTGCATCGATTAAACCGCTTCAGAAAAGTCATCTAAAACAGATTTACCGAAAGAACAGCTAAAGTTTTTTCTGTTGGGGCCCAACAGCATAGGCTTTTGACACAGTTTCTGAGCTAATTAAATATCAAAGCGGTTTGAATAGGTGAACTGCCCACAACATGCCCAGCCCAGAAACTGTCTCAACAGCTTATGCTGTTGGGCTCCAACAGCCAAAGTTAACCCGCTTATCCAAGTCTAGAGGATGGCCTCACCCCTAAATCGGCAGTCTATCCCAAGGTTGGCAGTTTATTACTTTATTACACCTCCCTGTTCAAAATATTGATACTCTCCATATGTGGGTAGAGATTTATCAGGCGATATTGATACTTTTTTTTTTTAATTTTTTTTTCAAAACCAGTTCAGGGGGGCTGGTTTAAGGCTCCTCCACCCCCTGAACTGGGGGGCTGGTTTAAGGCTCCTCCACCCCCTGAACTGGTTAGAACCCTGATACATCCTCTATAGGGGCGTATCGAAGAGCTCCCGGAATGATACGTATTGGCCGATATAGGCCGATACGTGTTGATACTTTGAACCTTGGTCTATCCTCCCTAATTCGATGATCAAGTCTCTTAATTACAGTTTATTACTTTTTACACCCCCTAGGTTGACAGTCGTGAACATGGTTTTCAAAACCAGATTGGACCGAACGATCAGACCAGAAAAACCGGTAATCAGTCAGCCCCTCGGGTCCGATTTTACTAAAAACCGTTGGAAAAGTCAGAAAACCGCTGACTCGGGCGGTCAAACCGCTAAACTATTCGACCCGGGCAACGGTTCGTGGGTTATTCTTTTTATTTTCAATGTTTTAAATAAAAAACAAAAAATAAAATACCTTCTCCCCAACCTAGTAACCTAGTTCAAATGTTTAGTCCCTTTAGCTTTAGGGCTTCTTGAGTTCCCTCCTCTCAACCCTCACACCCAACTGACCACTTGCGGCGGCCAACACCTCCAGTGTCTGACGACGAACTTGCAGGTAGCGGACAACACTTGCAGGTAGTATAGTAAGAGTTGTGGACCTTGCGGCGTCTAGCACTTGCAGTGGCGGCTGGCGAGTTTGTAGCGGTAGGTGAGGGTTTCTAGCGGTAGTAATAGTTGCAGCCACTTGCAGCGGCAATCACCTGTGACAATCAACATGGATCTTGGGTCCTCTAAGCAGCATTATAGAGATGTATATGGAAGAGTTCGACAACACCATGCTCACCAATATGCGAGGGGTGGCGTCAATGATAAGCATGCAGGTCGAGCTATGGTGGAGAGAAAGATATGCAACTCGATCGTCTGCACTGAAACTGTGGCAACGGCCTTGGGTGGTGGCTCTGCTCCTTGTACATACACCACTTCTAAGCACGCATTGGTGGGGCTGGTGCGGTCAGCCTACAGTAAGTTGGGGGCTCATGGCATCAGGGTCAACTGCATCTCCCCTTTTGGAGTCGCTACCCCATTGGCTTGCAATGCCTACAATCTGGACCCAGATAGCATGGAAGCTGGTGTGCCCAGAAGCGCGTCGTTAAACACCTCAAATTACTAGTTTAAACATTTATAATTTTATTCTGATTCTCAAACAACTACTAACACAGTAAAGTGATGAGAATGGGTCGTATCCATAAGGAAGCAGGGGAAAAATAATTACATACTTAGATCTAGACAAGAGAACACAAAGAGGAGTTGTAGAAATATAAAATTAATTAATTAAAAAATGGAATTTATTAAAACCAAATTCGAACAGTATTAAGAATAACAAGTGCATAAAAATAAATAAATAACAGAAACAAATAAATAAAAGGAACAAAATAAAAATGTCTAAGAATCCAATCAGAGGTAGCAGTCTCCATATCTCTCCTTCGACCCTCAAACTTCTCGAATTAGGCCTTCCGTCTTACCTGGCCGAATTTCAGATATGTAGAAAAGAAATAAATTACAAATTAAATCTAATAAAATTAAAATTTGTGGGAAGGAAAAATGAACTAGAAATTATAGAACAAAAAGTAATTCTAAAATTGAAGAAAAAATGGTTGGGATTCAAATCCAGAGGTGACAGTAGTGGTGTTGGCGGATTGCAAGTAGAAACCCCTCCTCTTGCCTGAGCGTCATCTTCTTCCTCTACCCTTGAACTTCTCAAAATCAACCTTCTTACTTGGGTGAATTGACCAACCCCTTCTACAGGGCCCCTGTGACCCTTTTTATAGAGAATAGTGGACACAACTAGAAATAGGGAGAAAGATGGGGGACGACAGTTGGGATTTAGCAAAGTTAGGGATGCCCTAAAGGTTCTAATGGATGGCTAAGATGGTTTTGGGGTGATCCTATGGCTGAAAATGGAAGGAGAGGGCACCCAATATTATGTAGGGCTGAGATTTGGGCGCTCAGAAATGGAGGGTGTAGATTACAACATTTAGGGTTGAAGGATTAAGATTAAAAGAATATGTGGTGCCCTAGATTGAATGGTTGGGATATAGGATGGAGGGAGTGGCTGAGATTTAATGGTGAGGATTAGTGAAATGGGTGGCACCCTAGGGTTTAGAAGCTATAAAGGAGATCCATAAAATGGATGGTGGAGATTAGAAGGAGTGGATGATGGGGATTTCACATATGGGGTGGCTAAGGTTAGCTAAAGAGGAAAAAATTAGGTTAAAAAGGCTCCCTAGGGTTTGCTAATGAGAGGGGAGCATGGTAATATAGTAGGATGGGTGCCAAATAGGTTTAGCAAATAGGAGGCACCTTCCTATTCTCAGTTCTTTACAAAAAAACCCCTCTTTCAGCTGGACTACACACCGGTTTTCCAAAAACTGCATTTCAGCCATGAAAATTTTCTAGTTTTCTACATAATTTGCACAGAAATCCTCAGAGGTCACATAAATAATTTTAACTGGGAAAATTGTACACTTCAACTACTCTAAGGCTGAAAATACCCTTAAATTAATGCCCTTAAGGCATCAAAATACAAAGTTATTAGAAGCTGTCACTTATAATGCAGCCAACTTGAAGAGCACTATGTTAAAACCTACCCATATAGCAGAGGCTGCTCTATTTCTTGCTTTCAGACGAAGTAGATGGAGGATTCACAGTGGTTAGTCATAGCTACTCCACCATCCAATGTGAGAAAGAGAGATTTTCATTTTCTCCATCAAACGAAGTAGATGGAGGATTCTCATTTTCTATTACCAAAAAAAAAAATAATAATAATAATAAAGGCATAATATACATACACGTTTGGTGAGGCTAATCAGACAACAGATTGGTTTGGTTGGCTCGTGAGGCGCTAGCTTCAACAGTTTCTTTGAACTTCAATCTTTCTTCTCTCCCCTCCTCTCTCTTATTTGTTTTACTGATTTCTAAGGACATATTACCCCCGTCTTGTGTAGTCTCTTCGGTCTTTATAAAAAATATCCCTTATCTATTTGATATTAAATTATTAATATAATATTGCTTTGAGCCATGTGTCAAATTTTGATCCAATCCACTTAATCTATCCACCCACCCATTCATTGTCAGCGTTGTATAAGGGTTAAAACTCATTTGGGTTGAATTTAAATGGATTAGGTTTGATGATGGTTAACCACTTATTGTTATACATGTTTTCATCCACTTTATTTTGTGGGACATCTCTATCACCGAAATGGGTTGTGGAGGTAATAAATGGGGATCCCATTTCTCAAGAACAAAAGAAAAAGAAAGATAAGCTGTAATTTGATTCACACCATTGTCAATGAGCTTTGCAATTGAATTGACCCGCTTGCTTCCCAGTTCCCACCATTTCTTTTTGTCTTGTTATCGTCCCACCCTTCCTCACTTTCAATGGGTGCCGGGTGTGTTAGGTTGGGTACTTGGGTAAGAAATAGAATAACCTACCTATATACTATTCGAATGGGTCATGAACAGGGATTCAGGTTGGGGTTCATTGAAAACTCAACAAATTCTCAACCTAACCCAATCCATGTGCACCCCTATTCATGAATGTTATTAAAGCCCCGTTTGGTTTGCAGGAATAGGAGTCTGGAATTAGAATTAAAATAGGTTATTCTGATTTCAACTGTTTGGTTGGACAGAATCATCCCCTCTTTTGGGAATGAAATTTTATTCTTATTAATTTTAATTCCTATTTCTATTTTTGTCTGAACCAAACGGACTATGGAAATAGACCATTCTAATTTCGATTCCAACTGTAAACCAAACGGACCCTAAATAGATGTAGGTGACTAAGGGGTTTGTGGGGTTAGTGCCCATTGGCACAATGTAGAGTAAGGGCTGCAACTTGTACAAGTCCAACACGAGAACTTATTGACTCAGCCCCCAATTTTTGGTCCTTAGTCTGGGCCTGGATTCAAAAGTTTGGATTCTTTTTTTTTGTATTTTAGGCTGAATCTGGGCCTAACCCTTAGGTAGCCCAAACCCACTTCGAGCCTGGCCCAATTACATACATACTTACATATATGTAATATAAACACATTTTTACATGCATACATACATATATACATATATACATATATATATATATATATATATGTATGCATATATTTTGTTGATAAATCATAATTGTTATGTATATATATATACACATTTATATCAAATTTTAGTATGAATTGATTGACCTACCTGAACCTGACCCAAGGGCAAGTCCAACTAAAACAATCAAATTTCACTGTAGGATGGACCTGGATTGAATAGATTGAACTTGATATCGGGCTCGGTCCAGATTCAGACGTTAATCCCAATTCTTAGAATTGGACCTAGCTTGTTGCACCATTCCCTTGCAACCCTCCAATGAAACACGGATATGTCAATAATGAAAATAAAATCCAAAAGAGCACATGAACTGTTTTTATCATTTTCAATTTAAAAAAAAAATTAATTAATGGCCCCGTAATTAATACGGGGTCATTCTTAGTAAACAAAACAACTCAACCATGAACCATCTATTAGTTTGAAGGCTCCATTCAATTATTAAAATACATACAGCAATAGCCCATCAAAGAGAACGATACACTTACAAGCTCATTCTTTTAAACCCATGGGCCTATTAAAGGCCTAACTCTTTATTAGTATACACTCTAGCTGCATTACAGCCCAACATTGGCCATTTGCCTCAACTCAACAGATTGGAATTTGGAACCACTCCCAAATGGTTTGCTCTAACCAAAAAATCTATTTGACTCTTATAACAGTACACTGAATCAGTTCCCTTCTATTTAAAAAAAAAAAAAAAATCAGTTCCCTTTTGAGAAGTTCATGGTAATTGATAGTCCAACAATACTAGTCGTCCAGTTGCACTGGAGACCACTGTTTGGCTGCACCATCCACTGCCTGCCACGTACACAAACTGCCATTAAATACAGATTTTGTGCTTTCTATGTAATACACAAAAAAAAGTGTTTTGTGGTAAAGCTGCAATTAATTGAGGTTAAGTCGGGTTTGGGTTGAGATGGACCCGTATCAAAACAATTCATTGACGTTGTGGCATTGAAGCAATTGCATAAATAGCCTTGATTGATCATATAAGGCTGTATTTGGTATTCCTTATTTGAAGGATTTATTTTTATTTTTAGTTATAATGCCTTTATCAACAATGAGTTTTTAACAGCAAAAAAGAAGATAAATCTTTAAAATAAGAAATGTCAAATGCAGTCTAAATTGGTTCAGATTTTGGCAAAGTTGCTTTCTGGTTAATTATTATTGAATAAACCCAAAACAAACCCGACCTGTTGACATTCCTATAGATCTAGCTACTCTGACCCGCACCAAACCATGCCCATTGCCAGGGTGAGAAAAAAAAAAAAAAAACAAGTATGATAAGAATTTAGCCAGAGCCCAGAGGTAGATCAATCCTGGGTGGTTAGGCTTATTCGGCTCGAACCCCATGGGTTGAAGTTTTTAAGGGCTCTATTGGAATGGCATTGTCGATGTAACCAAACAGTCCTTCCAAGAAGAAAAACGGGTTCAATTTGGACCACAAAGAGAAAGAGAGACTGATTCATCATCCAACCAGGCTGATTTTGATCCATTGGATCAGCTCCTTGTATGGAGAAGACCTTAAGAAACAAAGAATGGTAGGTAGCTCAGTAGAGCAATAAGCACAGATCTTGAGATAATCTGCTCGGAATTAATTATTCCTCCATTGAAATTTGCAATTGCATGTAATCCCACAAACATTGGTTAAAAGATATTCAGATCAAAGATGGAGCACTCACCAAAAAATCAACCGCTACGTTTGCATGAAAAAGAGCCGGGCCCACCCCACTCACTCTGTTAACGAAAAACAAAACCAGCCATCTCAAAATTACAAGGAAACAAAGTTGCTGTAGAGAAGAAAGAGCCTAATTAGTGAGGGGAGGTTGGAAACGTGGGTGGGTGTCTACCAGAAACATCTCAAGAGGTTGATGAGGAAATGAAGGAGATAGTTCTCTCGATCAAGCATATCTGGTCGGACCAATCGCTCCAGGTTGGTGTTGCGGGGGAGGAGGTCGCTGTAGTACAGTATGGTGGTGACGGACGTCGCTGGCCGACCCACCAGCGATGAAACCAGCCTCACCAGTGACCGAAACAACAAGGGCATTAGAGACTGCAACAAAGAATAGAGCAATCAAAACTCGCAAATAAACCCATTAACACACTCACATTAGTTGGCACTAAATAGCAAGAATTACCCACAAAATTGAGCAGAGAGATAGAGAAATGAAACGTACCATGACTTTGTTGTGAGAGTAGGAGAGAGTTAGTATAAGGAAGAAATCATGTTGAAGTTGGAGATGGAGTGAGTCTTGGCATCATTCATGGTGTCTGAGAGAGAGAGAGAGAGAGAGAGAGAGAGAGAGAGAGAGAGAGAGAGAGAGGGTTGTTATGTTATTGGCCTTATGGGTTTCAAATTCCAATAGGTTTTCTCTAACTGTCAAAACACACCTGATGTTCAGACCTACCCGTCTTATCTGTGTACGTGAGTTTACAAATCCATCTACCACGAGAGAGGTCATAAAAGAGAAAGTGCCAATTTAAGAGTAGGGAAGTAATAAAAAAAGGGAATTGAACCTTCAAATAAGTGAACAAGGCATTGTTGGGTTCAAAATTAGGCGGTTGGGTTGGAGTGTTGGACCCATCACAATGTAAAGGGCTACACCGCTACAACCTACCGGCAGCTGAAGGTCAATACCCACTGTTTGTCATGACTCATTTCCAGCTTTTATGAATGAGATAGGGGCACACCCTTTTCCTGCTACAAATACAATATTAAATAACAGGAATACCCCTAACTACCAGTCACAGCCTCACAGAACTGCAGATACCACTTGATTATCTCTATACGTCGTGCCCCAATTCATCCTAGGTGATACTGCCTCTATACATGTGGTAGGATTCGATGAAGATTAATGAGCCATGGATGCTTTATGGCCCATAAGATGGTTAGTTGGTTAACTTATTAGACCAGATTTTCTATGTGTTTTTTTTTTCCTTTATTTTTAGACTATTAGGCCTAATTCAATACAGTCGCCTGCAATTTTGATCTGACGCTGATCAGGAATAATGAATGGCTGTGGTGGGAATTCTGCAATCCAAATCCCTAAGGCTATGTTTGGTTGTACCTTGATACTTGTGGGAGAGATTGGGATTACAGTTTGCTGCATGTGCACATTGTTTTGGGAATATGAGTGTGGGGGATGATTTGCTGTTGGGTGTGGTTTCACGTACTTAGCCCTTGGCACCTTCCTGAGCCTTGATCGAGCCAGTGGTTTTGGTTTTGGTGGCTTGCCACTGATTTCACCTTAAATCTGCTCACGGACTGAGTTCTGAGAGTCCGGTATTTACTAGCTTATTAACAGAAAAATGTCCGGCCCAACTAGATTATCGGGCCTATTCTTGAGCCTGAACCTGATCCTAATATAAAGTCTGAAGACCATACATCATGCAATATGGTTCTATCTTCTAAAAGAAATCACACAACTTCTAAAAGACAAAATATTCATACAAGTCATTACCTAATATTTATTAATATTGTATATTTTTTTATTATTTATAAAAAAAGTCCAAGCCTGGCTAAAAATATAATCGGGCCTACTACTTACAATTTGAACCTCAACCCACGAGCCTCAAAATAGGTCTGTCCAGGCAAGCCTGTTGGACTACCTGGCCCCTGTCTAATTTCACTTAATTTATTAGTACAAGTTCTACCCTACCCCATAGTTGCCCACCCCTATCCACACCAAGGAAGGGGGGTTTTTGCTTGAACAACAGGTTTTGGGGCAGGGACAGGTTTTGGGATTCTATAACTTTTACATGTACCGGTAGGGTATTAGGTTAAATTTGACCCTTTTCATCCAGCATATTGTTGGAAAGCATATAACCTTTATGTATACATAGGTGTTGAATTTAATAATATTTTGAATTTTATGTGAAGGACAATAGATAGTTTTTTTTGTGTCATTTTACATATTTTAATCAAATAATTGGAAATTTTGTTATTTGTTTTTGTTATTTCACTTATTTATTGCTTATATATAACAAGGAATAATAAGAAATTAGATGTAGGTTATACACCCAACCAGCCCTATCCTTGAACGCGGGGAGGGTAGGGTTAGGGAGGGTTTTGCATCTTTACGTGCAGGGAGGTTTTGGATTCTCAAAATCCAACCCATTATGGGTTTTGAGATGGATATGGGTTGAGAGGTTTAGGGAAGCGGGTAGGGTTTAGAATGTACAAAACCCTCCCCAAACCCGCTCCATTTCCATCCCAACTCACTAGGGTAAGGTGTTGAGCTATTGTAGCTCTCTTAATGTAGATTCTCCAAGAGATTTATTGAAGCCCAATAACCTAGGGGTGAGCTTTATAAAACCTAACCTAATTTTGGCATTTTGGTTATCGGTTTCAGTTTTTAGACTTGAAAATTCAATTAATTGAAAAAATGGATTAATTGAATATATCAATATATAATATTTATATAAGCACTAAACTTGTTCAAATAGAAAAATGCAAAACATGTTTGATTTTGTATTTATAAATGCATAATTAGGGTTATTAAGGCTCCGTTTGAATGAGTACAAATACAAACATGTATAGTACAAATATATACAAAATAATACAAATTAGAAGGAGTTGCACTCTATATATTTGTATTTGTACTCCTTCCAAACTGAGTCTAATGGACTTAAAAAGTTTGATACCTAATTTGTCTCCAAATTTAATTATCCTGAATTTAGATGTTAGAACTTGCATTTGATTAATTCAAATCAAATGCGAATTTAATTCCACTCAATCCAATTAAAATCCAAGTTTGATAAAAAAAGTATTATATATATGTACTATAATTATTAATATGTAGATTTTTATGAAATCATATTATGCATGTATAAGTTTATATCTGATAAGTTTAATATATTTATATGCATTTATTATGCATGTATAAGTTAAAAGTAATTAGTTTTTATTTTTTATTTTTTATTTTTTTATCATTTTAAACACAATAAGATGGATGGAGATTTAGGGATTAGATCCAAATATGATCTAATCTGAAACCCTATATGTTTGATTCAAATCAAATTTGGGACCCAAACATTTGATAATTGGATTGGATGTGGATGTAGATGGATCCAATCCAATTAGGGGTGTCAATGGACCAGTTCTGGATTGGAGCCCGTGCAAACCAAAATCAATTTGGACAGATTGGATGGACCAACAAAACATATTGAATTGGTCTAGTTCAGACTTAATGGTCCAAGTATTTATTGGATTGGATTTACCTGGTCCATCCATAATGAATTTATATTGGATTGGGATAGATTGAACCAATATTTGGTCGATTGATAGAAAATAAGAATATTGGGTTAGAATTAATCTAAATTCAAACAAATTTAAACAGATTGGATGGTCTAAACGTTGAATTAGACCGGTCCAAAATGATCCAAAATATTCATTAGATTGGATTGGACCTGGTTCATTTGTAATGGACTCACATTGGACCGGATTGGATTGGACCAAATCCAGTCCAATTGACACCCTTAAATCCAATTATAGCCTTATTTACAATTTCTTGTTAGATTGTGATGGGTGCAAACATGAATATCAAAGCCGGAAACAACCTATTTTACATTGACCAACTTTTTAAATGTACAGTTTGATTTAAACTAGTAAACATGTAGGCACATTTGCATATGATAGTATCTCTAAGACAAAACTATTTACAATTCATACAGTTTTTGAACATTTATAAGTGGGCATTTTCTTAACTGTTATAAGTGGACAGTTTTTGAATAATTATAAGTGGGCAGTTTTTGGAGTGAGAGTAAAGGACACATATGCCCTTTTTTATGCCCATTGTATGTTGCTTAGATAAAGAATAAAAATGTCTAATGAAAAGTAAATGGGGCTATTTGCTCTTTTATTAATGGTATAGATTTTTGGAAGAAAACTTCCCTCTCATTTTTAGTGCAAAAACAATTAAAATATCAAATTTACTTTCACTTTTAATACAAAATGTGTTTTTTCCAAATGCCTGAAAATTAAATTGAAGTGCAAATTTGTTTTAATTTGCATGCCCTCTTATCAAGGCTAGCAACTAGTGAGGAGAAAAGTAGAAAAGTTGAAGACTTTGCATTCAAGTGAAGCTCCTATTTTTCCTACTTGTCAAAAGAATGTGAAATAAATGGATATTTATTTAGGGGTAAATTACAGACTACCCCCCTATACTTTGGGGGTAGTAACACTTATGCCCCCTGAACTTAACGGTTAAAGTAAAATTACTAAAATTCCATTTTAAAAGTTGATGGGCTGAATCTGAGTGAAGAAAATAACTATGACCATAGCAGTTTTTTGTCTTCTTTATTATTGCGTTGTTTTTTTTTTTTCAATTTACCTCTTTTTCCTTTTTTTCCTGAATTTTTTGTATTTTTGTTGCATTTTCTCAATTTCCTTTGTACTTTTCTCTATTTTGCAACTTTCAGTGTACTTTTCTATACATTTTTAAGATTTCATTTATTTTCTATTTTCTTGTAGTAAGAAAAGCTAGGGGGGCTAAGTGCCACTGTTCCTGAAGTAAAGTGGCAATTCGTAATTTACATTTTATTTTGTGATTAATAGCAAAATAATGGTCCAAAATGAACAGCAGAACGAACGAGAAATGGAGAAAAACTGTCAGAACAAGTTTTTGCCAGCTCCCTACCACCAGGTATCGGCGGAAGAGTGAAGACTCGGTGGTACAATGGCCATTATCATCAATGGAAGAAGGAGAAGCAGCAGCACTGGCATCGCCAAAGCACTCCTCGTCTTCCTCGCTTTCGCTTCTTTGTATGCAGCAGCAACAGCAGCATCAGACACCCTGAGACAAGGCCAAGTCCTCAGGGACGACCTGGTTTCTCGCAGTGGGATGTTCAAATTAGGGACCTTCAACCCCGGTGCTTCCAAGAATCGTTACTTGGGGATTTGGATGGAGGATGCAGAAGATAGAAAAGTCGTGTGGGTTGCCAATCGTGATAAACCCATCGTTGATTCCTCCGGTTCTCTTATGCTCGACGACCGTGGCAATCTCAACCTTACAATCGGCGGAGGGCGGTTTATTGTTTTAAATTCCAACCAAACAACGACGGCTGCGAATACTAGTAATTTGACTGCTACGCTTCTCGATTCCGGGAATTTTGTTTTGACAGGGGATGTGAGCTTCAATGCCAATGGGAGTGCTGGTGTGAAACGGGTGGTCTTGTGGCAGAGCTTCGATTATCCAACCGACACACTTCTGGCCGGGATGAAGCTAGGCTTCAACTTTAAGACAGGACGTAACTGGTCTCTGACTTCTTGGATAAACGACCAAATCCCTGCTCCTGGAGCCTTCACTCTGGGATTGAACCCCAGCGCTACAACCCAATTGTTAATATGGCGTCGAGGGGAAGTTTATTGGAACAGTGGGGACTGGAATTTCAGTGGGAGAAGGTTTGACATCGTGCTTTGGTTTACAACCGCGGTGTCCAATTTAAGGTACGTTTCGAATGAGGATGAGAAGTACTTCATTTTCTCTCCCTATCAGGAGAAGGAGAGTGATTCTCGTCATGTCGTTAATGGTTGGGTCATGGATTCAGGGGGGTTGATCTCGAATTATGGGTTGGCGAAACACCTAAATTCCATGGAGTTGGCAAGAACCTCTTTAGTGCTTGAATGTTTAAATCCTTCAAACGAGCCCTATTGGAGTCCAGGGTGCGTGGAACAGAAGAAGCTGCCTGAGTGCAGGAGAGGGGACGAGGAATTCCTAGACAGAAGGGGCCAAATTGTTGGCCAGCCATTGCAGATCGACTCCGACCCAAGTCTGGGCATCACGGATTGTGATGCTAAGTGTTGGAGCATTTGTGACTGTGTAGCTTATGCCACGGCCAACGACAATGAGACTGGATGCCAGCTTTGGAACCAAGACTTTGAATTTTTCAGTGATGATTATGGGAAAGAGTATGTGATCCTTTCACGCAGTGGTTAGTCTGTCTGTCTGTCCAAAACCCTTAATTCTACAATCTAGTACTCATCTGAAGTCCAATTTAATCAGTCATTATTTGTCAATTAGGTTGAATTTGCCAATTAGAGCTCAAGGCTGAAACTCTGGTCACAGACACAGAGTTCCTGGCGAGCAAATGGCAAACACTATCTCAGTTCAAATTTCAAACCCGATTACTGTTTAGGCTGGGTAGCAAGCAGCTTGGTTGAGGTCCTTTCGAACATATCCTACCTTAAGAAAAACTAATGATTTGTTATTTCATCATCATTCCTGGATGCAGGAAAGAAGTGGTGGAGATGGCTCATCATCTCAACAGTATCTGCTATAATAGTGTTGCTTCTCTTGATCTGCTTATGCCACTTAGTGAGGAAAAATAGAAGAGGAAAAGGTTAGTTGATAGGAAATGCTAAATGGGGATAGTTTCTTATGAACTGGGCGACTGAAAAGTCTCATTTGTCTATGCTTATGGCAACAGGGGAAATGGAAATAGGTGAGGAGAAGTCATTGCTTGAGTTGGGAAGAAAAGCTTTGGATGAATTTATGGGCACTCATGAGTATGAAAATGATGGAAACAAGGATCATGAATTGAAATTATACAGTTTTTTCCAGCATCATGGAAGCGACAAATAACTTTTCACCAGCAAACAAACTTGGGGAGGGTGGGCTTGGACCTGTCTACAAGGTGAGATTCAAAACTTGTGAGAAAACAAAAATGGTTTAGGATAGGCTTAAAAATTAAAATCATCATAGTTTCTTTTCAAGACAGTGCTAAACGTGGCTATTGGGGATGGCCATGTGATGTAGATGTCATCTTCACTCTAAAACTCAAGACCTACCTGAACAATCTTATATGGCAGCCCTATTCAGTGGAAACTTAATAGTAGTTATTCTCTTCTTTTTTTTTTTGATGGATAGATAGTAATTATGCTTTAAGCATGAGAAGTTACTGGAGGAAAATTGTTTCAGGGTCAGCTAATGGGAGGACAAGAAATAGCAGTGAAAAGGCTTTCAAGAAGTTCTGGACAAGGACTAATAGAGTTCAAGAATGAGATCATACTCATTGCTAAGCTACAACATGTCAATCTTGTTAGGCTTTTAGGTTGCTGCCTACAAGGGGAGGAGAAGATATTAATATACGAGTACCTGCCCAATAAAAGCTTGGATTCTTTCCTCTTTGGTTTGTGATCTTTTTTTTTTCCAACTCATTCAACCTCTTTTATTTGCTTACTCTATTAAATTAACTGGAATATCTACATGTCTGAATTTCTCCTTGAAACAGATTCTACGAAAAGGGAACAATTAGATTGGAAAAGGCGTATCAACATCATTAAGGGGATTGTTCAAGGACTTGTTTATCTCCGTGAATATTCAAGATTGAGAATAATACATAGAGACTTAAAAGCCAGTAACATTTTACTAGATGATGAAATGAATCCCAAGATATCAGATTTTGGCATGGCCAGAATTTTTGGGCGGAATGAATCTGAAGCTAATACAAATAGGGTTGTCGGGACATAGTAAGTAGACATTCTACAATCAAGTGCATGCAGAGGAGAAACATTTTCCACCTCCTGAACAAGCATATTTGCATGTGTAAGGACGCAAGTGATTCACTTTTAAAAACTAAAATTTGATTAATGTTGGATGCAGTGGTTATATGGCTCCTGAGTATGCCATGGAGGGTGTTTTCTCAGTGAGATCTGATGTCTACAGTTTTGGAGTCTTGTTACTAGAGATCATTAGTGGGAGGAAGAATACCAGCTTTTATCACTTTGACCGCCATATCAACCTTGTTGGATATGTAAATAGATTTCAAATCTTCAATACTTGGAATTGAGAAAAATTTCTCTGTAACTTGGAAAAACTTATTAAAGTTGGCTTATAAATTAAATTGCATTGGTTTCAGGCATGGGACTTGTGGAAACAGGGTGCTAGTTTGGAGCTAATGGACTCGATATTGGGTGGTTCATGTTCTAAACAAGAGTTCTTGAGATGCATTCATGTGGGTCTCCTCTGCGTACAGGAAAATGCAATAGAAAGGCCCACCATATCAGATGTTGCTCTTATGTTAGCTCATGAAACTATGCCTCTGCCTGCTCCAAAACAACCTGCGTTTTCTTTTGGAAGAGGTGTGACTGAGTTAGACTTACCCAATGCCAAGCCCAAAAACTGTTCCTTAAATGGTCTCTCGGTTTCTATTATGGATGCACGATAGAGGTGTCCACCAATCTCTCTCTCTCTCTCCTCTCTCTCTTCTTTATCAATTTAGTTCTTCTGTTCTTGAGATATGCTTATAACAATGTTCTGTAAAAGTCGATGTACTAACATCAGGGATTTGGAATTGCTCTTTTTATACTTGCAATTTTCAGGTCCTTCTTAAGAGTTGAAATCCCTCTGAGTTTGTCGTATTTGAAGAGTCGAAATCCCATCCAGTCTTAAATCGGAGAGAAATTCGTCTATTCCAACTGTTGGAGGGAAATTGGTTTCGGTAGATACAAGTGGTCATCTGCCAAACAAAAACTTAGCAGTCCACGTACCCTTTGATTGACAGATTTCTCTCCAGTCCAAGTGGATCGAGAGGATTAATTCAACTCTTCATGTTTCTTTTGCTATTGTAAATTTGTAAGACGCGAGACGACACTTGAAATACAACTTTTCATTCTTTCTTTTTTTCTTCACTGATTTGTTTGTTAGCTATACTCCATAATGGATTCAGAAAAGACTACCTACGACTCAAGTTACAAATGTTTGAACAAAAAATAATTAAGGGTAAATTACAGACATCCATCATGTAATTAGGTGGCAATTTTGCAAGAATGACCACCTTAGGGATGGCAATTTTCCTCGTCAAACCAGGGTCCACCCCGCATGGGATGGGTTTTCCCTGATCTTAAACGGGATGGGTGGGGATGAAAAAAATATTTTTGCCCTGAACTGGGGATGGGATTTGCATATAATTTTCTGAACCCAATGGTAAATTAATAAAACATACCATGATTCAATATTGATTTTTAGAATATCTTTAAGGGACTGTTTTTTTTTTGTTATTAGTTTCAAAAATAAATCAAAACTATTTCGTTTGAAAATAGATTGTTTTTTAAAATGAAAACATAAAAAAAACATGTTCTTGGTTGAGTGTGTGTTTTGTTTTTAAAATTGAAACCAAAAGCATGCTTTTATTTGATTATTTAACATCATGTTCCACAAATCATATAATTTTTATATTGGAAAATTTGTTTTTGTTTTAAAAACCAATATTTTGTTGGTTTCAAAAAAAAATTATTGTTTTTTAAAACAAAACCAGCTTGATTTTTCCTTTGAAAACAAAAACATAATTCAAAATGTTTTTTTGATGATGTGGTAATTTCAAAAACAAATGAAAAAAAACCCTCTATTGTAGAACATTTCCCCTAAGTTTTTCTCAAATTCTTAAAAATCCTAGGATCCCATAATTTCATTTCTAAATTACTCTCAAATTGTCATAATTCAATTCCTAAAATGCCCCTAAATTTGCATAATCCTATTTATAAAATATTCACAAATTGGATTATTTTTGGGTGGTTGCTTTGAGACAAGGAAAATTCAGGGATTCCTCGTCATCTCCGACAAGGAGCGGGTGCCCCGCATCAAACCCGTTGTGTTGCCTTTCCTACCCAAACTTTCTGATTGCCTCCTTTGAGGGTGTTTGGTTCCGTTTACGTTTATTCAGTAAACGTTTTATACTTGTGTGACTACAAAACCGAGAAACACATTTAATGAGGGCATTTAAGACACATAGGCACAATTAGGCACCACATCAACAAAATGCCAATAAACGCCTACCCGTTTTGGGAAGGTCCAAAATGAAGCTTATTGAAACAGGAGAGGCACATAGAAATCGAAGTTTGCTTTTGCAAACTTTGATACACACTAATGCAATTAATGAGGCATGATGGAGGGTGATTTGACCTGACCTCATCATAAGGGGACACGTGGACATGACTCAGCATGAGCGACAACTCCGCATGGCCAGTCCGCCAAGATCCAACGTGGCAACTCGCTACGAGATGACACTCTGATTACCCCGAGCTAAGGTTCTTCCAAGTCGGGAATATCCCGAGCTAAAGGCACTTTGGGTTGAGCTCGAGAGCCTCCTAAGTTAGAATATATTTACTCCTGCCCAAACTTAAGTAGGTCACCTCGGGTAGAAGCACCTCGATACGGCACTTGCAGCTCGCGGAAGAGCAGCTCGGCGTATCACAGGAAGATCTCCTGTCTGACAACCGTACCTGCCAAACCCGGAGACCTGCACCCACGTCTTTCGTCAGGCGGTGTCATGCCTACCAGCCCTAAGAGGTGTCCCTTGTCTGGTAGGGTCGTACTCTGCAACAGTTACCTACGCCCACCAGCTCACCCCTGGCAAGTAACGACTGCGGTAGAGAATCAGAGGCGGTTATGGCAGATTTGTCAGGACACCGCTATATAAGAGCTCTACCCCCCAAAGAGCAAAGGGATTGCAACTTGCGTGATCTGCACTCTAGCCCTTTTATTTTTCTCTACAACTCTCTCTTTCAGCTCTCAGCTTTCTCTCCAGTTACTAACTTAAGCATTGGAGTGTTTCCGCCGGGTGAGCTCCCCGGGATCCCTTCATCTTCTTCTTCACAGGAGTGATCAGGTCGTGCATCATCAAGGCATTTGCTAGCAGGGCGCCTATGTGGTACCGTCAATAAGCGTTTACTCAATAAACGTAAACAAAACCAAACATACACTTTGTTAGCATTCCATCTATTAACCTAATAGAACATTATTTTTAAAAGTCGAAACTATCCTTACAATTTTACTCTTTTAACTTAGGCGTTGTTTGGCAATACTTCGTGCTCTTGCCAAACAAGTCCTTAATTATTTTTTAAAATCAAGAGACAAAGTGTTGGAATCTAGAACTTCAGGGAGGAATTTGTCTAAAAACAAAGTTTGGGGGCAGAATTTTTCAATTTATTTAGTACATGATGGCTATCTCTAATATATTCAAAATTGAACGATCACAAAGGCTATATTTGGTTTAAAGAAAAAGGTAGGGAAAGGAAAGGAAAGAAAGGGAAACATATACAAACTTTGTAGAGATTTCCCTACCTTTTCTTACCTTTTCCTTCAAACCAAACACAACCTCTAATTGTGATTGCATGCATGGTTAAGAAAGATCACGCCACCCATGCATGCTTGAAAGAAATATTGACCATCAATGGCGGGACGAATGAATTTTCAGAGGATAGAGAGGAAGAAAAGAACATAAACGACAAAGGAGTGGAGTTAACAACCAAAAGTGCAGGTCGGTCACCTCTATTGACATGTAGATATATATCAAGCCATCTAGTGATTATTACCAGCTGGCTCGACCTCCACAGTGCACCATCTCTAATCTTAATGGATGTCATCAAAGGTGGCCGAAGTTCTAGCAGCATTGGCTCGCCCCTCCTCTTTGTAAGAGTAATTTTCTTGTGCTTGTGTGTCTTGGGACCTTGTTGTTTCTATTCTCATGCAGCAGCAGACACCCTTACACAGGGCGAGCAGCTCAGGGGCAACCTGGTTTCTCCTAACGGTGCATTCAAATTAGGGTTCTTCAACCCTGAAGTCTCGAAGAATCGCTACTTGGGAATTTGGATGGAGAACGGAAAAAGCAGAAAAGTGGTGTGGGTTGCCAATTGAGATCAACCCATCGTTGATTCCTCCAGTACTCTTGTTCTCGATGGTCGTGGCAATCTTAATCTTACAATCGGCGGAGGTGTTAGATAGTGTATGCCCTTAGCTCCAATCAGAATGATATACATTATGACATTTAATGTAAATGAATAATGTACATATTTGATTCATGTTATTATGGTGTGTTTCTGTGTAATACCTTTAAACTGGACACTTATGAGACTCGTGTTAGTTTAGAATCTTCACAGCCGTTGGATAGATCTGGGAAGATTTATCCTGCCAAGGCTAACACTGATGTGCCGCCAAGTTGGTTGGGGTGGCTTGTCTCAGCTGCCAGGGTGAGACCTGTGGTACATGCAGTGTGAGTTTTCTTGAAACCCTGAACCGAACCAGAATTCCAGTATTGCCCTGGACGTTGGAGATAGATGGGCAAAACTAGAATGTTACACTTGACCCCTAGACTCGATTATGATACTGCACTAGGTGTCAGATTGGGTTGTCTTTGATATGCCAATCAGTAAAATCCTTAGAGGGGGTCAAAACCTGGGTATGTTGGGACAGTCCGAGAATTCATCTGAGTGGGTGATCATAGTGACATGATCAACCCCTTTGTTGGACAAAGTGAATGATCAAGGATGCACTCTCTCTGAAGGAAACCAAAGTTGCCGGCAGCCGATTTCAACCGTTGAAATTTGTTTTGCAAAATATATTTATATAGAGACAAACTTATATATATATATATATATATATTATGGTTTCAAAATATTTGCAAAAGGTTTTAATTCCCGGGATCCATGTGAGTAGAGAGTGCAACACTGTTTCTTGTAGCTGAGAGAGAAGTCATCTCTTGTCAGGCAGTGTTTGATCATTATGGGCTGAGAGGTTAAGTGTAAGACCATTGAGGGTAATACCTGATGGGCTAATCTTGGACCTACCCACAGTCCTTGGGTTTTTATAAGGTGGCTTGACCCAATGACCATTTAGTGTAAATGTTAGGCTCATTAAGAGCCTATGGTGATGGACTCAGGGGTTCACTGTCACCTACAGTGAATTCGGCTAGGCCTTGTAACAGAGGCTGGGCTAAACCCATGTGGCTGAAGTGTAGATCAATGTTTGAGTCCCACGCCATATAAGGACATCCAACTGGGCAGCAGTTTGTAGGATAAATGAGCACACTGACTTAATGGGCCTAAAGCCCAATTCGAACTGGCTTAATTAGATGAATTAAAGAGGGGCGGTTCTGGGATTTAGATCAATAGATAGGATAAGGGATTGTCCCTATCCACTCAAAGATTCCAGATCCAAATAAAGATTTGGATCAGGAAACTCCTAATAAGATTAGGAGGGCTGATCTTTATCTACAGATAAGATATGGGATTGTCCTTATCTCTTAAAGAGAGTCCAGATTTAAATACAATATTTGGATTAGGAAACTCCTAGGAGAACCTCTCTTTAAGTCTATAAATAGAGGAGGAGGGTGAACCCCAATTGATCAATCAAATTACTGATACAAGAGAGAAGACAACATACAGTTAGACTGACGCCATTTTCTGTTCTTGCCTTTTCCTGCTATTGCCGCCATTACCAATTCGATCTCCACCTGTAGGAGCGATCAAGAAAGGTTCTTGATATCACCTTTTGGCAGAAAATGTGATTTGAAGTCGTGCTCACTCGCCTTCCATCAGATTCTTGGTGAAGAATTATGTTCTTGTTGAAGATCCA